AATATAATATAATATAATATGTGTTATACATAAGATATATTTATAACTCGCGATTTTAACCTGTACATTTCGACAAAAAATAGACTTACAAAACTATCTAAGATCTGTTAAAAAAAATCTCATGCAACAGGAAACAAAAAAAAGTGTTTTCCAGTATTATTATAAAATGATGGTTTATGAATTATCTATTCAAATTAATGGATTCAAAGGTAATAAAATGAAAATAGCTAACAAAATCTTACAAGCTTCCAATTCAAACAAGATAAAATAACCCAAACAATTTAAAAACACGACCGGTTTTTCCACTATTATTGCCAAAATGAATCCATTTGTCTTATATAATATGTTCAAACAGCGACTTTGTGGTCGGGAAATTACGTTAAGTGGGATAAAATCTTGTATTTCCCCCCTTCGATATTTTTTCTCCTTGCATGTCGATTCACATTATTACTCGCTTCAAAAATTTGGTTGCTTTAGCCATCGAAAAAAACGTTTAAAATTGCGCAAATATCATGCTGTTTCATTCATATCGTAGTTCATCAAGGAATGGATAAGTGTTCCCACCTGTTATTAACATTAATAGCAGGTGTTTTATGGAAAGAGCATGTTGTGCCTACTTTTTTGCATGCGTTTCCTATCTCCAACATTTAAACTTTGTACAGCTGATGAATTTTCTCCAAATTATCTTTATGGAAATAGCTTATGATTCAAAGCATTATTTAGCCGCTCGCGTAATAATGGTAGGCAGCGGATTACATGAATATCGAAGTGATGTATGGTAGACAGGCTAAAAATAATCTCATGATATCAGTTTTTTTTAAGGTTAATGTGTATTTAGTTGAGCCGCAACTTTGTATCTAAAAATTACCCATGTAAAGAAGAAAAGATTAATATTATTAAAAACATTTTTTCGGAGGATTAAGTTTTTGTACTATTTGTTAAAATGTTAAGTATTTATAAATTAAATATTTAATTGCTAAATAGTTTGAAAGCATTCCTGGCGGGCAATTCTCGCTTGAACTCTTAAATACAGTGCTTTTGCCTTTTGCAGATCTAATTATAATAATAATAAAAACTTAACAACT